AGCAACTTTAGTTAATGAAGATTTATTGGATTTCTGATCTAAATTAGTCTAACCTGTACAATAATACAGACAAAAAAGGAGCGGGAATGATTCGGTAGTTAACAACGTACCAGCTTAATATGTAAGCATCATCTTTGTGTTTGTACACAGTCTCTTCTCTGTAGGCACCATGCAGGCTTCAAAATGGCCATTTGCGTTAGGTATCTCGTTACCCTTTTAGTCATAACAGGTAGTATGGATGCCAATGAAGGAAGTTAATGACACGCAAACACATCTCAAGAAGGTTTTCACAGCTACCGTGTTTCATCCACCAAACACTGATCTCAAGTTAAAGGGAGATTTTCAAGAACGACCCAGGTGGGACTTGAACCCACAATCCCCAGCTCCCGAGGCTGATGCCTTATCCATTAGGCCACTGGGCCATATCACCAATCTTCTATCAAGTGGAAAACTGCACTTTAGGATCTCGATGACAGTTTGCATTCTATTAAATAAGAACTAATGGCCAAACATTTTCTTTCTGCAATCATTCACATTCGTGTCTCATCGGTTCTGGGGTATGGTTCTAGTGTATAGTGTGACTGGTCTTGAGAGTTTCGAATTCAAGTCAAGGCCACTCTCATTAACTTGAAATCACAACCTTTCTGCAGCTATTTTCTTGTTTGCATTTCATCATCATCCACCTAACATGAGACCGTCAATTGAGAGCCACGGGGTACTTGAAGTCAAGATCTCCATTCCCAGAGCTTAGCGGAACCTTTTAGGTTTGTAACATGACAGTGAGATTCAAGCAAGATTGGATGAATCCTAATTGAAGTGTGCAGCAAGTCTGAGAATTGGAAGCTAACTATTGCCCTCGGATCATCACACTTAAGCTTTGAGTAGACAAGTCAGGATTTTTCAAAAAAATTTCATATTTTGCAATTTTTCAAAAAATTGTCATTTTTTGTGATTTTTTGTGATTTTTCAAAAAAAATTTATTTTTTTGCGATTTTTCAAAAAATTGTCATTTTTTGTGATTTTTCAAAAAATTTCTACTTTTTGTGATTTTTCAAAAAATTAGATTTTTTGTTATTTTTCTAAAAATTTTCATTTTTTAGAATTTTTCAAAAAAATTTCATTTTTTGTGATTTTTTGTGTTCTTTAAAAAAAATTCATTTTTTGCGATTTTTCTAAAAATTTTTATTTTTTGTGATTTTTTGCAATTTTTCAAAAATGTTACATTTTTTGTGATTTTTCAAAAATTTTCATTTTTTGTGATTTTTCAAAAAATGCTCATTTTTTGTGATTTTTCAAAATATTTGATTTTTTATTTTTCTAAAAATTTATATTTTTTACTATTTTTAAAAAAAAATTTTCATTTTTTGTGATGTTTTGCGATTTTTCAAAAAAATCATTTTTTGTGATTTTTAGGGATTTCTCAAAAATTTTTCATTTTTTGTAATTTTTCAAAAAAAATTCATTTTTTGTGATTTTTTGTGTTTTTTAAAAAAAAAAAAATTTTTTTTTTTCAAAAAATTCAAAAAATTAGATTTTTTGTTATTTTTCTAAAAATTTTAATTTTTTTAGGATTTTTCAAAAAATTTCATTTTTTGCAATTTTTCAAAAAAATGTCATATTTTGTGATTTTTCAAAAATAATTCATATTTAGCGATTTTTCCAAAAATTTTCATTTTTTGCGATTTTTTAAAAAAATGCATTTTTTGCGATTTTTCAAAAAAATTTCATATTTTGTGATTTTTGCGATTTTTCAAAAAAATTTCATATTTTGCGATTTTTCAAAAAAATTTCATATTTTGTGATTTTTCAAAAAAATTTCATATTTAGCAATTTTTCCAAAAAAATGCATTTTTTGTGATTTTTCAAACAAATTTCATTTTTTGTGATTTTTCAAAAAAATGTCATATTTTGCGATTTTTCAAAAAAAATTCATTTTTTGTGATTTTTTGCGATTTTTCAAAAAAAAATTCATTTTTTGCGATTTTTTAAAAAAATTTCATTTTTTGTGATTTTTCAAAAAATGTTCATTTTTTGTGATTTTTCAAAAAATTTTCTTTTTTTGTGATTTTTTGCGATTTTTCAAAAAAATTTCATATTTTGCGATTTTTCAAAAAAATTCATTTTTTGTGATTTTTTGCGATTTTTCAAAAAATTTTCATTTTTTGTGATTTTTTGCGATTTTTCAAAAAAAAAATTCATATTTTACGATTTTTCAAAAAAATTTCATATTTTGCGATTTTTCAAAAAAATTTTATTTTTTTGTGATTTTTCAAAAAATTTTCATTTCTTGTGATTTTTTGCGATTTTTCAGAAAAAATTCATATTTTGCGATTTTTCAAAAAAATTTAATATTTTGCGATTTTTCAAAAAAAATTAATTTTTTGTTTTTTTGCAATTTTTCATAAAATTTTCATTTTTTGTGATTTTTCAAAAAAATTGTCATTTTTTTTGTGATTTTTCAAAAAATGTTCATTTTTTGTGATGTTTTGCGATTTTTCAAAAAAAAATCATTTTTTGTGATTTTTAGGGATTTCTCAAAAATTTTTCATTTTTTGTAATTTTTCAAAAAAAATTCATTTTTTGTGATTTTTTGTGTTTTTTTAAAAAAAAATCATTTTTTGTGATTTTTCAAAAAAATAGATTTTTTGTTATTTTTCTAAAAATTTTAATTTTTTTAGGATTTTTCAAAAAAAATTCATTTTTTGTGATTTTTCAAAAAAAATTCATTTTTTGTGATTTTTCAAAAAAAATTCATTTTTTGTGATTTTTCAAAAAAAATTCATATTTTGCGATTTTTCAAAAAAAATTCATATTTTGTGATTTTTCAAAAAAAATTCATATTTAGCGATTTTTCAAAAAAAATGCATTTTTTGCGATTTTTCAAAAAATGTTCATTTTTGTGATTTTTCAAAAAAATTTCATTTCTTGTGATTTTTTGCGATTTTTCAAAAAATTTTCATTTTTCGTGATTTTTGCGATTTTTCAAAAAAATGTAATATTTTGCGATTTTTCAAAAAAATTTAATATTTTGCGATTTTTCAAAAAAATGTTATATTTAGCGATTTTTCAAAAAAAAATTCATTTTTTGTGATTTTTCAAAAAAATTTCATTTTTTGTGATTTTTCAAAAAAATGTCATATTAAAAATTAAATTTTTCAAAAAATTTTCATTTTTTTGTGATTTTTCAAAAAAATTTCATTTCTTGTGATTTTTTGCGATTTTTCAGAAAAATTTCATATTTTGCGATTTTTCAAAAAAAATTTATATTTTGCAATTTTTCAAAAAAATTTCATTTTTTGTGTTTTTTTGCGATTTTTCATAAAATTTTCATATTTTGCAATTTTTCAAAAAATTTCATTTTTTGTGATTTGTTGCGATTTTTCAAAAAAAATTCATTTTTTGTGGTTTTTCAAAAAATTTTCATTTTTTGTGATTTTTTGCGATTTTTCAAAAAAAAAATTCATATTTTTCGATTTTTCAAAAAAATTTTCATTTTTTGTGATTTTTTGCGATTTTTCAAAAAAAATTCATATTTTGCGATTTTTCAAAAAATGTTCATTTTTTGTGATTTTTTGCGATTTTTCAAAAAAAAATTTATATTTTTCGATTTTTCAAAAAATTTTAATTTTTGCGATTTTTCAAAAAATTTTCATTTTTTGTGATTTTTCGAAAAAAAATTATATTTTGCAATTTTTCAAAAAAATTTCATTTTTTGATTTTTCAAAAAATTTTCATTTTTTGTGATTTTTTGCGATTTTTCAAAAAAATTTCATATTTTGCAACTTTTCAAAAAAAATTCTTTTTTGTGATTTTTCAAAAATTTTTCATATTTTGCGATTTTTCAAAAAAATTTCATTTTGTGCTTTTTCAAAAAAATTTCATATTTTGCGAAACAAAATTTACAAAGCTCCCAGCATGCATTGCATCATAAATAAATTATGCAGCTTTATGTTGTTACAATCTCTTTCTTTTTATTTATTTTGTGTTGTGTTTGGGAGGTAATATTTCAGTAGTTTTTTTAATTGATTTTTATTTTTATGTTTGTCACCATCATTGAGATTCAAAGACTAATTGTTGATGTCTGTGTGTTTTTAAATGCTGCCATAGATCAAACATTCACATTGTAAATCATGCTTTTAAAGTCATTTATTGTTAAAGCTTCAGTGGTTTCATTTATGTATTTTATTCATTTCACACACATAACTAATATGACACTGAATTAGAAAACAAGCAGGAGAAGATGGCTTTGATATCATAGTTAATCTCTTCAGACTGACTCTTACATTTTCTTTTGAATTTTCATGCTACATGTAAGAATAGTGTGATTAGCACTAATAATTATAGCATCCAAATTAAAACAAACATTTTATAGCAAGAAGTTGAAGAGCCCTACTAAAGCAGACTCTGTCCTCCATCATGGTGACTTCAAATGAACAACAGAAATTTCATAAAGAGCTTTTGTTCACATGACAGAATTAAAGCCAAAGCTCAGTAATAAGTGAAGCTCCATGATGAGTTGTTTAATGTGATGAGTTGTTTTAAAGATATTGAAAATAAAAATAAAATTTTACTTTGTAATTTGTTTATTTTTTCATTCATTATTATTTTATTTAAAGTTTTATTCTCAGTTGATTTCATCTTTGGTTTTGGCTACTGCTGCCAGTATTTTGATATACATTTTACATATATTTTACACAATAAGAGTTTGCTAATTAACACTCTCTGAGTGGTAAATTTTTTAACACTTTCAAAAGTGTTATTTTAACACTTTTATAGTGGTTCCCATATAAACACTGAGGGATTGTTAATTTGAACTCTAAGGTAGTTAAATCTACAATCTAAAATTTGCAGTGTGTATAACCCTTTATTATTGTCTTTAATTGTTTATGTACCATAGCATAATCAATGAAACACAACATCAAAACACTGTGCTGATGAGATTGTCTTCTTGCTGCTTTGACACTGACTTTTGCCTATCTTGTGTTTTTTTGTCCTTCTTTAGCAGTTGAGGACAAAGGCGGTCTGCCGAAGAAACCACTCAGCTCCTCTGAAAGACAAGGTATATCACATAATAAATGTCACTTATTAACATTTATTCATACTGTTGCAGCATGAACTACAGTTGAGGACGCTCCTGTGAAATATTTATTCAAGCTAATGGAGCAAGGACATTTTCACAGTACTTACGATAGTATATTATCTTCTGAAGAAAGTTTTATTTGTTTTATTATTTATGTTTTTTATTGGCTACAGAACAAACAGTGTTAAGCTAGTTAAGCCTTTACTTTCTCAATCTAAATATGGTAGCACATCAGAATAATAGTCCTTTAGTTAATCAATTTACTAACACTAAGTGTCACCAATCTTGTGCAGCATTTATTAATTACAGGTCAACATTAATGCATTATTAAAATCCAAAGTTGTGCTTGTTGACATTACTTAATGCACAGTGCATTAATGAACTAACGTTATTTAACTTAAACATTAAATCGTTAACAAAGATGAATGAATACTGTAATTAATGTATTAAACTTCTAAGTCATGTCAGTAAATGCATTAACTAATATTAACTAATGGACTATTACTCTAAAGTGTTACCTTAAAGGGTGACACTTTACAATAAGTTTGTATCAGTTAATGTCAAAGCATTTACTACCATAAACAAGCAATGAACAATACACTTAATGCACTATTTGTTCGTGTTACAGTCATCCATGCCAACTCGCAGTCCATCAACTAAGCATTAAATATTATTTTAATAAAGCATTAGTACATGTTGAACTATGATTAAAAATGTTGTACAAGCATTGTTCATAATTAGTTCATGTTAGTAAATACATTATCTAATGAAACCTTATTGTAAAGTGTGACCCAATATTATATACTGTCATCATGGCAAAGATAAATTATAAGAAATTAGTTATTAGAACTATTATGTTTAGAAATGTGCCTGAACAAGTCCTCTCTCCATTACACATAAATTGTGAAAAATAAACTCAAATTTAACAGGGGGGGCTTATAATTCCGGCTTCAACTGTATGCATTAATAAATAAAAGTCGTCACACCAAGACACTGTCTTCTGATAATCACAACTGTGCTCATTTAGGAGCCGGGGAAACAAAGAGAAGAAAACGTTCCTGTGAAGATCTTTCACAGAAGCCCCACTCAGACTCTCCACTGTCTGCTGTAAGTTCATCGTTTGTACATCACAATTAGGTGGTGTATATACTGCTGAATACAGTTTTGTAGGCATAGATGGGGAGACTGTGCAAAAAGTATGATTATGTCAATGAAAGGTTTTAACTATTATACTTACTTTGTTGAAGGCTCCTGCATCGACTTCTTTATTGGAGGCTCCTGCATCAGCCTCATCAGTTTCTGGCCAGTCTTCTTCATCGGCTCCTGCATCAGCCTCGTCAGTTTTTGCCTCGGCTTCTTCATCGGCTCCTGCATCAGCCTCATCAGTTCCTGGCCAGTCTTCTTCATCGGCTCCTGCATCAGCCTCATCAGTTCCTTGCCAGTGTTCTTCATCGGTCCTGCATCAGCCTCGTCAGTTTTTGCCTCTGCTTCTTCATCGGCTTCTGTATCAGCCTCGTCAGCTCCTGCCTTGGCTTCTTCATCAGCTCCTGTATCAGCCTCATCAGTTCCTGCCTTGTCTTCTTCATCAGCTCCTGAAAAATCGCAAAAAATTAAAAAATTTTGAAAAATCGCAAAAAATGAAAATTTTTTGAAAAATCGCAAAAAATGATTTTTTTTTGAAAAATCACAAAAAATGAAAAATTTTTGAAGTCACAAAAATGAAAAAATGAAATTTTTTTAAAAAATCGCAAAAAATCACAAAAAATGACATTTTTTTGAAAAATCACAAAAAATGAATTTTTTTTAAAAAATCACAAAAAATGACATTTTTTTGAAAAATCACAAAAAATGAATTTTTTTTAAAAAATCACAAAAAATGAAATTTTGTTGAAAAATCGCAAAAAAAAACAAAAAATGACATTTTTTTGAAAAATCACAAAAACTGAACATTTTTTGAAAAATCGCAAAAAATGAAATTTTTTTGAAAAATCACAAAAAATGAAAATTTTTTGAAAAATCTCAAAAAATCACAAAAAATGAAAATTTTTGGAAAAATTGCAAAAAAATCACAAAAAATGAAATTTTTTTGAAAAATCGCAAGAAATTTTTTTTTTTGAAAAATCACAAAATTTTTTTTTTTTTGAAAAATCGCAAAAAATCACAAAAAATTAAAAAATTTTTGAAAAATCACAAAAAATGAAATTTTGTTGAAAAATCGCAAAAAAAAACAAAAAATGAAATTTTTTTGAAAAATCACAAAAACTGAACATTTTTTGAAAAATCGCAAAAAATGAAATTTTTTTGAAAAATCACAAAAAATGAAAATTTTTTGAAAAATCTCAAAAAATCACAAAAAATGAAAATTTTTGGAAAAATTGCAAAAAAATCACAAAAAATGAAATTTTTTTGAAAAATCGCAAGAAATTTTTTTTTTTGAAAAATCACAAAATTTTTTTTTTTTTGAAAAATCGCAAAAAATCACAAAAAATTAAAAAAATTTTGAAAAATCACAAAAATTTTTTTTTTGAAAAATCTCAAAAAATCACAAAAAATGAAAATTTTTTGAAAAATCACAAAAAATTAATTTTTGGAAAAATCACAATAAATCACAAAAAATGAAAAATTTTTGAAAAATCGCAAAAAATGAAATTTTTTTGAAAAATAACAAAAAATCCAATTTTTGAAAAATCACAAAAAATGAAAAATTTTTGAAAGATTTTTGAAAAATCACAAAAAATCACAAAAAATGATTTTTTTAAAAAAATAACGAAAAATCACAAAAAATGAAAAATTTGTGAAAAATCGCAAAAAAATTTAATTTTTTTGAAAAATCACAAAAAATGAAATTTTTTTGAAAAATCGCAAAAAATCACAAAAAATGACAATCTTTGGAAAAATTGCAAAAAATCACAAAAAATAATTTTTTTTGAAAAATCACAAAAAATGAATTTTTTTTGAAAAATCGCAAAAAATCACAAAAAATGAACATTTTTGGAAAAATCGCAAAAAAAAATTTTTTGAAAAATCAAAAAGAAATTTTTTTGAAATATCGCAAAAAATCACAAAAAATTACAAATTTTTGAAAAATCACAAAATTTTTTTTTGAAAAATCGCAAAAAATCACAAAAAATGAAAATTTTTTGAAAAATCACAAAAATGTAATTTTTGGAAAAATCACCATAAATCACAAAAAATGAAAAAATTTAGAAAAATCGAAAAACATGAAATTTTTTTGAAAAATAACAAAAAATCCAATTTTTGAAAAATCACAAAAAATGAAAAATTTTTGGAAAATCACAAAAAATCACGAAAAATGAATTTTTTTAAAAAAATAACGTAAAATCACGAAAAATGAAAATTTTTCGAAAAATCATGAAAAATGAAAAAATCATGAAAATCACGAAAAATCATGGAAAATGAAAAAATCACGAAAAATCATGAAAAATGAAAAAATCTTGAAAAATCATGAAAAAATCTTGAAAAATCACCATGCTGCGGAACCATCTGCCTGAGGGTAGCAGACAATTTTGTCTGTATAATTGTACATGTTAAACTAATTTAAATTAGAAGTCCACTAAATGTTCATTAACTAAAGTCACAGCAAAAGGTGCTACAACTAATGTAGAAATGCCAAAGTTCCACTGCTTTTTCTGTGACAGCTGTAGGGCTCGTCCGGGAATTGAACCCAGGACCTCTTGCATCCTAAGCGAGAATCATACCCCTTGACCAACAAGCCCTGAAGAAAGAACCTGCAGTGCCAAAAAAAGTCTTACTTTTTTATAAATACTTTTTGTTCTTGTTGTTTTTAGTATGTGCCACCTGGGTTGCCTTTGATGCAGTTCCTTTTAAGTTGGCTGTGCAGCACAATCCAGTGTGACCTTCAAAAGCTAGGTTCATACCCTTAGGTCAAAAAAGACATGACAATGGAAAACTCTTCAGAGAATCTGTTTTGTCATTAGGTGTACACACCAGATCGTCTGAATGCAATATGGTATAGGGATCCTTAAGTGCTGTTTTCTAGGTTAAAAGAACTTCCGGAGTCATACAACAGATATGGCAAATGCTAGTATTGGCCCAGTGGCTTAATGGATAAGGCATCACTCGTTGAAGTTGGGGATTGTGGATTCAAGTCCTGTTTGGGTTGTGTTTGTTAGGTTACATTTAAGTTGTGTGAAAAAATCCTGACTTGTCTACTCAAAGCTTAGGTGTGATGATCTGAGGGCAATAGTTAGCTTCGAATTCTCAGACTTGCTGCACACTTCAATTAGGACTCATCCAATCTTGCTTGAATCTCACTGTCACGTTACACACCTAAAAGGTTCTGCTAAGCTCTGGGAATGGAGATCTTGACTTCAAGTACCCCATGGCTCTCAATTGACGGTTTCATGTTAGGTGGATGATGATGAAATGCAAGCAAGAAAATAGCTGCTGAAAGGTTGTGATTTCAAGTTAATGAGAGTGGCCTTGACTGGAATTCGAAACTCTCAAGACCAGTCACACTATACACTAGAAAGAAAGAAAATGTTTGGCCATTAGTTCTTATTTGATAGAATGCAAGCTGTCATCGAGATCCTAAAGTGCAGTTTTCCATGCGGTAGCATCTTGTTGAAGGCATACAAGAGATCCTTGATAGAAGCTTGGTGACATGGCCTAGTGGCCTAATGGATAAGGCATCAGCCTCCGGAGCTGGGGATTGTGGGTTTAAGTCCCACCTGGGTCCTTCTTGAAAATCTCCCTTTAACTTGAGATCAGTGTTTGGTGGATGAAACACAGTAGCTGTGAAAACCTTCTTGAGATGTGTTTGCGTGTCATTAACTTCCTTCATTGGCATTCCATACTACCTGTTATGACTAAAAGGGTAACGAGATACCTAACGCAAATGGCCATTTTGAAGCCTGCATGGTGCCTACAGAGAAGAGACTGTGTACAAACACAAAGATGATGCTTACATATTAAGCTGGTACGTTGTTCAAGATCCATAAACAATTCTAACCACCGAATCATTCCCGCTCCTTTTTTGTCTGTATTATTGTACAGGTTAGACTAATTTAGATCAGAAATCCACTAAATCTTTATTAACTAAAGTTTCTACAACTAACACAGAAACACCAAAGCATCACTGATTTTCTGTGAAAGATGTAGGGCTCGTTCAGGATTTGAACCCAAGACCTCTCACACCCAAAGCAAGAATCATACCCCTAGACCAATGAGCCCAGTAGAAACACTCTGCAGTGTCAAAAAAAAAAAATTCTGTAAAACCGGTCCAATCTACTTTTTGTTCATGTAGTTTTTGTTATGTGTGTCAGCAACTCCCTGGATTCATGTTACAGTTCACAGGCAGTATAGAAACAGCATAGTGGCCTAATGGATAAGGCACCAGCCTTTGAAGCTGGGGATTGTGGGTTCGAGTTCCACCTGGGTTGTCTTTGACGCAGTTCCTTTTAAATTGGCTGTGCAGCACAATCCATTGTGACTTTCAAAAAGCTAGGTTCATACCCTTAGGTCAAAAAGACATGACAATGGAAAACTCTTCAGAGAAGCTGTTTTGTCACCAGATCGTCTGAATGCAATATGGTGTAGGGATCCTAAAGTGCTGTATTCTGAGTTACAAGAACTTCCTAAACCGTACAACAGATATGGCAAATGCTAGTATTGGCCCAGTGGCCTAATGGATAATGCATCAGCGTTTGAAGCTGGGAATTGTGGGTTTAAGTCCCATTTGGGTTGTGTTTGTTGGGTTAAATATAAATTGTGTGGAAAAAATCCTCACTTGTCCCCTCAAACCTTGCGTGATGATCTAAGGTCAATAGTTAGCTTCAAATTCTCAGACTTGCTGCACACTTCAATTAAGATTTATCCAATCTTGCTTAAATTATCCAATCACTTTACAAACATCAAAGGTTCTGAAAAGCTCTGGTAATGGAGATCTTGACTTCAAGTACCCCGTGGCTTTCAACTAATGGTCTCATGTTAGGTGGATGATGATGAAATGCAAACAAGAAAATAGCTGCAGAATGGTTGTGATTTCATGTTAATGAGAGTGGCCTTGTCTGGAATTTGAAACTCAAGACCAGTCTCACACCATACCCCAGGACCAATGAGACACGAATGTGAATGCTTGCACAAAGAAAATGTTTGTCCATTAGTTGCACACATCTTATTTGACGAAATGCAAACTGGCATCGAGATCCTAAAGTGCAGTTTTCCATGCGTTGGCATCTTGTTGAAGGCATACAAGAGCTCCATGACAAAAGCTTGGCAACATGGCCCAGTGACCTAATGGATAAGGCATCAGCCTCTGGAGTTGGGTATTGTAGGTTCAAGTCCCATCTGGGTTGTCTTTGAAGGTCCACTATAGATTTAATTACAGATCATTTCAACCAATTATTGCAATGAAAAAAACTGATGCATCAACACATCAAAGCACTCTCTTGCTGACATCAGGGCTTTCCTGTTGCAGTCGGGTGTGCACGTCTCCAACACCACTATAAGACGACACTATAGACGTCAAAGCCCTGTAGGCCTTCCTAGAAAAACAACTGCAAGGCAAGGAAAATGAACAGGTATTGTGTATTATCATTTTGTCAAATCAAGTATTTCAGCAACACTTATGTAAAATGTTAATAAAATTAATTAATAAAATTATTGTATGTGTTTGTTGTATAGTGCTGCACTTAAAACGATTGACGAAAAACTGCACAAGGACAATGAGCAATCTGCTAAAAAGATTCAGAGTGAGCTTCTGTTTAGAATACAGTTAAAAGCATCAGTCTGCAATATTAGAAAACCAGTAAAACAACTCAGGTGGACCTATAGAAAGCCAGGTAAGCCATTTTGAACAATGCCATAATGAAAAGATTTATTTATTTACATTAATCCATGCATCTCTTTATTTAGGCTATTTGCTTTATACGAGCTTACATGTCCTACAAATTTATTAATAGGACATACCCTATTAATAAACCGCCATGTTGTGAAACCGAAAGCAAAGCATCCAGTAAAAATTCATGTCTGGGGAGCCATATTCCATCAGGGACCTGGACCGCTAGTTGTGTTAGAAGGTTAGTTCAAATCTCTTTAATATGATTGAATCGTTTCTTTGCAGTTTCTTTATTTATATATATATTTTTTTTCTATTTTCAGGAATTATGGACAGATGTTTTTACGAAGACACTATAATAAAATTCAATCAGGCTCCATACGTAAAACAACACTTTAAGAACCATATCACTTCTTCCAAGGTAGATACAGTATGTAGGCCTACTGTACCAACTTTGTATGTGTGTGTGTACATGTTCACTGATGTGTGTGTGTGTGTGCACACGTTCACTGCTGTGTGTGTTGAACTTTTTTATCAATCTTGATGATTATTGAATATTTAATAAAGTTAACACATTGCTTAAAGGGCACATAGTTTACCCCTTTTTTATGATTTAACATTATTATTATGGTTCTTCTGAGTGTGCCAGTTTAGGTTCAGTTCAAAACACAATCCAGATTTTTTTATTATAATGTGTTATAATGTGTCATTTTAAGGGCGTGTACACAGCTCGCTGTTTTACATTTACATTTAGTCATTTAGCAGACGCTTTTATCCAAAGCGACTAACAAATGAGGACAAGGAAGCAATTATCACAACTATAAGAGCAACAATAAATAAGTGCTGTAGGCAAGTTTCAGGTCTGTACAGTCTAAGAAGGAAAGCATTAGTAATGTAAGAATTTTTTTTTTTTGAGTACAGTTAGTGGTATAGCTAGAGGCAATTGCAGATTAGGAAGTGAAGAGGAAACTAAATAGTTGAGTTTTAAGTTGTTTCTTGAAGACAGCAAGTGACTCTGCCGTTCTGTTGCAGTTAGGGAGTTCATTCCACCAACTGGGCAGATTGAATGCGAGAGTTCGGGAAAGTGATTACTTCCCTCTTTGGGATGGAACTACGAGGCGACGTTTATTTACAGAACGCAAGTTTCTTAAGGGCATATAAATCTGCAGAAGTGAGAGCAGATAAGAGGGAGCAAAGCCAGAGGTTGCTTTGTAGGCAAACATCAGAGCTTTGAATTTGATGCGAGCAGCAACTGGCAGCCAGTGCAAACGGGTGAGTAGCGGAGTGACATGTGCTCTTTTCAATTCATTAAAGACCACTCATGCTGCTGCGTTCTGGAGTAGCTGAAGGGGCGTGTTGCTTCGCATGAAAATTAGTTTCAAATTCAGTCGGTCGGTGAGTAAATGAATATGATGGATGAGAACACACAGGCATGTGCGTATAGACATAAAATGTAATGTTGTACAGTAACGTGTCAATTGTTTGTTTCAGTTGTCTTTATTTGAATGGTTTCGTGAGGATGTGATGGTGTGCTTTATCTGGCTGATTCCCGCTGAAGTGGGCGGGTTGTGTGACGTTTGATTCGGGGAATGTTATGGGGCGGGGTTTGCGTGACGTGCTGCGAGCTACTAGCCCAACAGTGGAAACGCAGCATGATTTCGGCCTCACTGCTTAACCTCCTGGCTCGCACTGACCTCAGCTTACAGCCTAGAAATCCAATGCACTATCCATTGCACCACAGAGCTCCTGCCTCTAGCACTGTTGCACAGAAAGCAATTTTTGGTACTCTCTGGCCCATAAAAGCACAGCTCACTGCAGATAAGGTACTGCTGGGATTCATACATAGGATCTTCTGTTTACTCGACAGGTGCTTTGACCAACTAAGCCACAAAACCAGACAGGGGGTAATTGTTTAATCGAAAAAAGAAACGGTAAAAACGGTAGCACTGCATGTTTGAATGTCTAGACTTAAAAATTTTAAAGTCCAATTGGTTACGCATCACCATACCATGCTATATAATGCCATCGTCCAAAACCCTCTTAATAATACAATATTAAAATTGTTTTATTATTCAATATATAATCAAGGTTTCCCTTAAACCAATTAACTTCTCTCTATAAAACTTCAAAAATTGCAACAAATGAACACTGCAATGAATAAATGTACAAATAAAATAAAAATGAAAATAAAACATTCACTTATAACATTTCAAAATGTCCCAAAAGTCCAGTACAGGTGATGAACACTCAAAAAGATTCTTTTGCAAAACAACTAGGTTGCAAATTCATTTCCAGAGTTCCAGGATGTTGCACTTGTGAGTGTGTTGTAAATTTACACTCCTACCATGACGCTGAATAGGTTTTACTTTGTATCTTTCCAACAGGTGTATCCAAAGAATCCACTTAATGGGAGGCTCGCCAGTCCAACTCCACAATTAGACACACACCGATGAAAGTTTAGACAAACCAAATCCAGAAAAGAGTTCACACTTCAATTAATTTGAATTGCGCGTGCACAAATAGACACTCCCACACCATCCCACTTTAGTTCCTCCGACACTCCCCCCTAAACAGAGCTGGACACGCCCACTTTTCTGACTTTTTCCAAAGTAGAGGTGTGAAAACACCCTGCTGAAACGAGGGGGTTTCATGGCCCTTTAAGCGTTCTTGGGTGGCTCGCAAATGTATAGATAACTCTAATACATAAAATAAGTAAGCTGACCAAAGTTCTTACGGGGAGAAGACTTTATTGAAGAGAATTAATTGTGCAGTTCATCAGCAGTGATGTTAACTTGTCGGTCTTCAAGTAACTTAAACCAAAGTACAGTCTGTGAGACACTAATTTATAACAAAGGATGAAACCCCCCTGGAGATTACCCAACTGCTTTGGTTGGGTCACATCTCCTGAGTTCCTCTAGGTCATTTGGTTCTTACTAAGAGCTCGACTATGGTGCCAATTTAATGTTCAGTTTACTTAGGTTGTGTGTTTTTGGACTGTGGGAGAAAACCAGGGGAAATCCACGCGAGCACAGGGAGAATGAGCAAACTCTGCACAAAAAGTCAACTGGTTAGCAGCGACTTAAACCTGCGACATTCTTACTGTGAGGCAACAGTGCTAACCACTGGCTAATCATTGACTGCCGTGTTGCCCAATCTAGAAAGGAGGGGGAGTAAGGGTGGGAGAGGGATTCTTCAAGACAAGGATAACTGAGTTAAGCTACGGTCACACTGGGCTTTTCCTCCCATAGACTTCCATTCATACGCACGCGAATGCGTCAGACTAGAAACAGGGTCATGCGTCAAGTTTCGCCGGTTGCTGAGGTGCAAAGTTCATGCTTGGTGAACTCTGACCTGCGAAATCGCATCACTTGACTGCGTGAGACCAATCGAGGATCAAAACATGACCTCTCTGGACAGAAATTTAAACCATGGAGCAATTGCTCACTTTTTTAATTTCTAAAAATCTTGTTTGATCCCGCCCCTTTTAACAGCACCGTACGACAGAATTTCACAATCTCAAAGTCTAGTGTGACCGCAGCTTTGTGTTCTGGTTATCTATAGTGAGTCAGGAATCATCTGATTGGTGAATCATGTTTTAGCTAATGCAGAACCAGCCGTGGACAATCATAAGCATGTGATCCTCTCAAAAGTAGTTTATAAATAAACTTCACTTGAATGAACAGCCAAACTACGTGAAAAAGCTGCCGTTTTGAATATACCCGTGTTTGTGTGGACAAGGCCTCAATGTTAAGGACTCAGCTCTCCATTGTGAATCTTCATGTGAGTGTTGAGGCTTCTTTTACTTTTAAAGCCCTTTCCACACTCACAGCATCTAAAACGATCCTCTCTTGAGTGAATCTTCATGTGTTTCTTAATGGTGTCTTTGCGTGTGAGACTCTTTCCACACTGATCACATGTGAACACTATGGTTCCAGTGTGACCATTCATGTGGTTCTTGAGGCTAGGTTTGGTTGTGAAGCTCTTTCCACACTGAGCACATGCAAACGGCTTCTCTCCAGTGTGAGTTCTCATGTGGTGTTTGAGTGTGCTTATATGTGAGAAACCTTTACCACACTCTGTGCATGTGTAAGGTTTCTCTCCAGTGTGAATCCTCATGTGGATGTAAAGGTCTCGTTTTTGACTAAAACTCTTTCCACACTGTTCGCAGGTGTGAGGTTTCTCCCTAGTGTGAACTCTCATGTGAGCAATCAGGTTCGGCTTTTTACTGAAACTCTTTCTACACTGTTTACAGCTGAAAGGCTTTTCTCCAGTATGAGTTCTCATGTGCACTTCCAAGTTTATTGCATGACGGAAGCTTTTTCCACACTTTTGGCATGTGTATGGCCTCTCTCCAGTGTGAATTCTCATGTGGGTTTTAAAGTTTTGTTTTTGACTAAAACTCTTTCCACACTGTTCGCAGGTGTAAGGTTTCTCCCCTGTGTGAACTCTCTTGTGATCATCAAGGTTTGGCTTTTGACAAAAACTCTTTCCACACTGTTTACAGCTGAAAGGCTTTTCCCCAGTGTGAATTCTCATGTGTGCTGCAAAGTGTCCAGCATGATAAAAGCTTTTTTCACACTTTCGGCATGTGAACTTCCTCTCTCCAGTGTGAATTCTCATGTGGGCTTTAAAGCCTTGTATTTGACCAAAACTCTTCCCACACTGTTCGCAGGTGAAAGGTTGCTCCCTAGTGTGAACTCTCATGTGAACATCAAGCTTTGACTTCTGACTGAAACTTTTTCTACACTGTTTACAGCTGAAATTACACCCCGATTTGGATTTCCGAGGTCTTCCGTGTGATGAAGTCTTTTTAGTCAGTGTGGGTTTTTCATCAGTCGCTATTTCTTGGGGTTTCTCAAACTGCTGTTTCTCATCTATTTCAATCTGTTGATGAGTCTCTTCTTTCAGCACCATCAGATCTAAAAAAAAAAAAAAAATTAGCTTTAGTATGAAGGCTCAAAGCGACAAGCAAGAAATGGATGTTTTCCTTTATTGCGGAACACAGTAAGCCAGTAGAGTTTTTTTTTTTATATCTTCTTTTGTGTTTAACAGGATCAAGAAACTCATAAAGGTTTAAAACCACACGAGGAAGAGTAAATGGTGAGGCTATTTTCATTTCTGCACAACTATCCCTTTAAAAGGTTCCTACAATTACCCATTTTTTCCATGATGTAAAATAAGTCTTTGGTGTTCCCAGAATGTGTCTGAGGTTTCAGCTCAAAATTCGATCATGTACCTTGTAGAATATTTAATTTTGGGGGTCAGAGGCAAACCAAGCTCTTTTTGTGCCTGTGACTTTAAATGGAAATAACCAAATGCACTCGCTCTAGATTACTCGTGTTGTTTCCTCGATTGAGACAAATCCTGCATGTCCATAGCAAGTATGCATAATTCACGCTTATATTTGCAAGTTTGCATTATTGTATAAAACGTATGCAAATTCTTAATGCCACGTTTGCTTTAAACGGGAGTGATGAGGAGATGGCAAGATTACATGCTTTGTTACTTGTTTTCATTTATTTGTACTTTTGTCTTTGTTTTCTTGCCTTTGTGTATGCCCCGAGGCTTAGCTGAAGACCTACTTGGTGACATTGTATATATCTGACCATATGCACAAATGCCATCTAAAAAGGTTACTTGTGGTTTGTCCAATCAGAGACAGTAACAACGTAAATATACAAAATAATAATGATAACCCAGGGTTTAAAAATGTGAACTGTCTGTTAATGAACACCCAGGATTATTTTTTTAAACCCAGGTATAGCATGAGCAGTGTGGAAGGTGACTACAGATAACCCAGAATTTCTCCAGGTATAGAATGACCCAGGGTTAACAATTTGAAGTGTGAAAAGCCCTAAGAATACTCCGCATCAGCTCTCAGGATAAACAGAGTACAATTACAAACAGCGACAATTGCCAATCATGTCATGATGACCTGGGGCCTGTTTCAGTAAGGAGGATCAACCAACCTAATCTTGATCTCTGAGTTGATTTACCGAGAGATTAAATACTCAAGAGTTTTCAATTTCAGAAAAACATTTGAGCTTCAAAAGTCTTTCAGTCAAGAGCAGTGAGGGATTTTCTCCCTTTGTTGTTTGATTAATGCTAAAAACAGTCGGCAGCAGGAACATTGTGCGCTGTCACTTTAGGAATAGTGCGGCTCTGATATGGTTTCTCTTTCAAGTGTCTTTTGATTCTCAACTTGTTTGTATATTATACAAACAAGGGTTATTATGACTAATCACTAAACACTACACAAATTTGCATGTACTTGACCATTAAAGCGCTCACATTAAGATGGCATTAGATGTATGTTCTCTGCTTGTCTCCGAGCCTGTCCAAGGCTAAGCGCAGCGCACACACAGAGCATGTGCACTTATGCACTTTTAAAAATAGGAATGATGCGCGTCCCGTGCTGCAAATGTTACATTACAGCACATGCTTTTAGTTATTTTCACATGGAACTGAGCTCTGCAGAGCAACAAGTGTGTACAACTGGAAAGGGAGCGGTATATGATGGAATAATCGTTTATCTCGATTAATGGATTTTCATAATCATTAGAAGCCAAAATCTAAATTGAAACCAGATTTTCGATTAATTGCACAGCACTATCAAGTGGTAGAGGTTGATATGACATTTAAAATGTAAGCAGGACTAAAAAATCTTTTTAGAACGAGTAATAATCCCGTTAATCTAGTTACAGTACATGTCCGTCGAAGGTCATTGAATTTAAGCAAATTATTCATTAAGAAAGGACAAGCCATTCTGCTATGTGACTGTTCTTTGTGTGACTGAAATGTAGGCAATAGCTATGTTTCCATCAAAAAATGCGAATTACATTTATGCGCAAAACTGGGATGTCACATAAAAGATGTGCGAATAAAGCTGCGTTTCCATCCAATGAATCAAAGACAACAAAATCATCACTTCCTGATTAACAGGCCCCAAATATGAACTGTAAAAACAGAATTTCCTGCAGTAGAAGAAGCTACATGAATCTTTTATTTATTTAATAAATGACTTTCACCTCAGAGGACAATGCTGGTACAAAATTAACACGTGTTGGCGTTTGAAGCCATGAGACGCAGAGAACAGACGCTCTGGAGGTCATCAATAGTACAATAGCATGAATACTGAAATGGTTCAGGCGTTTTAGAATGACCAAAACAACATTTCAGATGTTTATAATGTTCTCAGCCTGCTGGTTTGTGCATTCACACACATTTTCATCATCATATGATCTCTTTTAACAAACCCTTTTAAACAAACCAATTTTTTATGGTCATAGCCTATCTAAAAAGCACATAAAAAAGGTGGCTGAATATGTAAGGCTAAGTGAGAAATACCGCTTTATCTTTTAAAAAGGGGATGAGACCGACAGAAAACTCTCTTTCAGAGACAGGCTCTCTTGCTCTGCAAACAAGTGTGTTCATGACTATACATACAAAGAAAAACAATAAAATTAGAAAATATGACTTTGCTACAATAAGCAGCATTAGGCATGGGCCAGTATAAGATTCTGACAGTATGATAACCTTGAATAAAAAATATCACAGTTTCATGGTACTGTGAATACTCCTCTAAAATATATTCTTTTAAATGTCTGGGTAAACAGACACTTTTTCCTCTTTGAACACAAAACATTTACCTTTGAGAAACTTTTAAAGTATTTTGGAGCAGTAAACATGTAAGGCTAAATCACTCAATTGAATCATTGACTTCTGTCTTCATTTGTTTCATAAACAGAGATTTCATTACAATTTAAAATGGCATCTTTGGAGATCTTTTCTTTTCTCTGGAGATACTGTTGTCCTAAAAACTTAAAACAAAATATATATTAAAAAAAACATATAGCGATGAACGGTACAGCAGAAAATATTGGCGGTTTTAAAACCTCGACTTTTTTCAAACTGCGTTATACCTTGAAAACGGTTATCGTCCCATGCCTCAGCAGCACAACACTGTTTTTAGTATCTAAAATTATTTCTTTAATAAAAGTCAAGAGCAAAAAGATTCAAATGGCGGCGCCTGCTGGTACGTGAAGAATATGGTCAATACGGACGAACTTTACACTCAAATCTCTGCATATCCTCAGCATGCTGTAATCCATTTCTTAAGCAGCAAAAGTCATTTTAGACTAGTTTGTTGGCCAGTTGTAGTCAGCGCAATGTTAAACGTTATTGTTCCACAATAGTTTGTTCATTTAGTCTCACGTCGCCCTGCAGCAACATCATATAGTTTAGAATTCTGTACAATGCTTTATAATAATTAATTATTTTATTGTCCACTTCATTCAGCATATTTAATATTGGGGGCATCCATGTTTTTTTTTTTTTTATACTTTAAACCAGGGTTTCTGCAGGTTTCACCAAGTTAAATGTAAGACTTTTAAAGACATTTTTAAGACCATTATGACAATTTTAGACTCATAAAGGGCTAAAGGCTAAGGGATTTTTCAAATAGCCCAGATGAAAGATTTTAATTTGCCCTATTAAAAAAAATGATAATTTAATACATTTAATAATACAATAATAAATTAATAAAAAATATATATTATAGATATTTCTTACCAAAAGATTTTAAATTGTGTGTAATAACATGCAAGCTTTACTTGTATCCACACACTTTTTTCCTAAATAAACTTTCTTTAAAAAATAATTTAAAATGAACAAATGTTTTAAAAGTTTTAAAAACTAAAACAAACTAAATCTACACAACAATCTGTCCGCGATGTCTTCAGCAGTAAATACATGGAGCACGTTTAAACAAATGTTATTGTGAGGAAAATTATTAAACCATTATGACAAATAGAGTTAAAATGACCTTTTGAATAAAAAGTTTAAAGTTTTATTGAGATGGATTGTTGGTTATTGTAGGGGTTTTGGCCAGATTGGGTAGCAAAACATGAACAAAGGAAAATAAAGGCTTGTTTAAAAAGATTTAAGACCTACAACACAACATTTCAGTAAATTTAAGACTTTGTAAGGTCGAAAATTTTGATTTTGGAATTTACGACATTTTAAGACCCCCGCAGAAACCCTGTTTAAACACAATAGCCCTGGTAATTAGTTATTATAATAATAATGTAATTCTAACTCAGATACTATCTGTGAGAACTAGTAGATACTACTAGAAACAAGTTTAAACCCATAAAGAAGTCGATGAAAAAAGTTAATTTGGATCAATGTGACATATGCAAATGGAAAGTACTAAGCCAACACCATCACTGTAATAGCAGATATCTTCTATGGGGTATTGTAGATCAAATATCTTCAGCTCAGTTTAAGTTTTTTTTTATTATTAGTTGTTTTTATTTATTTTATATAGCGCTGGTGCTCAAGGACGCTTTACAAACAGTAGGAGAACAAGAAAAGCAATAGCCTTAAGAAGGTAAAGAAAATGGGAGACTAATAATAAATAAAATAATGACAAAAGACACGAGAACAAGTAACAAGAGAGAAACTCATTCCTGTCTTTCAATAGTTATGTTTCCATCCACCTATTTTCATGCACTTAAAAAACGGTTTATGGAAACATCATGATGCAAAAAACAAATTGTATGCGCATTTCTCAGTAGGATAAACGTTTTATTCGATAAGAAAAGATGAAAAATCACGATACAAACTCCAGTATGTGCATTAAAAAAGGTCATGTGATTTTGTTTTAAGAGATCATGTGATGATAAAAAATGTGTATGAATGGACAAACCCGCCGGCTCAGTACATTATAAAACATCTGAACTCTTGTTTTGGTCATTCTTAAACGCCTTACAGTTTAAGTATTAGTGTTATTATATTATTCATGACCTCCAGAATTAAGAGCATCTTAGCTTCGCGTCTGACACCTTTAAACGCCACTACGCGTTCACTGCGTTTCAGGATCACCCTCTGAGGCGCAAGTCATTTATTAGATGAAGCAAAGATTAGCCACATTTCCACTGTCGGGCATGTGCAAGCCAAGGCTTTTATCGGGCAGGGCCGGGCCAGGCCAATCGCAAGGGGGGGTTGAGCAGTGAGGCAGAAATCATGTCGCGTTTCCACTGTCGGGCCAGCACCTCGCAGCGTGTCATGCAAACCCCGCCCCCAGAACGTCCCCCGAATCAAACGTCACACAACCCGCCCACTTCAGCGGGAATCAGGCAGATAATGCATGCATGACAGAAAAAAAAGGTAGCCTAGTTTCTGCTTTCACTCACCTATAAAATGCTCTGTTTACATGATTTGATTAATATCATCATATCCATATACTTTATAAATAATATTTCAAACCTCCTCCGGTGTTTATTGTTTTAGAAAATATCTTAAATCTTTTTTTCAGATAGGCCTTTGTAAAATAAAAGTTTAATATGGCTTTAAAATGGTTTGATTTATGTACGGTTTATAGGCTACCTAAATTATTATAGCTAGATTTTATTTGTTTTATATTGGTTTATTTATTTTATGTAATTTTATTATATCTGATATTTGTAATTATTTAAATTATTTCAATATATCTTGGGCTATTTTATTAGGATATGACACTATTGTTTTTGAGTCTACAAAAATGGACACGAAATTTGTAAAGTTTAATGTCTTTCTGTTGTATTTATGTTGTGTATTATCTTCAAAATAAATAAAAACAAAATCCGCTCGCAGCATCAACAGAGCTGTGAGGAGAGCGCTCTTTTGCTCGGTCTCACATTCACATTCAGGCATCTAAACACACACAAACACCTTTTAAACTTGACAAAAACTCTCGATAACCTTTACTGTCTGCTGTGTCTTTAATATGGTGTAAAGATTATTATGCGTTATTGAAACATCAAGGAGGATGCAGCAAAGTCACTTATAAATGAAAACTTTATCATTTTATGCAACAGCCTTACATTTAAAAGGGAAACATAAGGGCGATCATACGCAAAAAGACCCCAGCCTAAATGGCTAGATGTTTTCTTTCCCTTATTTTTTTATTTGGTTATTTGTTTGGTGCATGTACTCGTGTGCGATCGGAAAACTAGTGTCTGCCTCTCCTTTCACTCAGCCCCGAAGCCCCAGCTGGCCCTCTTTGGCCCAAGGTATTCGGCGGGCCAAAAAAGGCCAGCCGCTGGCCCCGAGAAAGCCCCGCTTTGGCTCGATTAGGCCCAGGAAGTGACAGTGGAAATGCGACTGGCCTTGGCTCGCCCTGTCTCGCTTGCTTTAGACGAGATAGTGGAAACGCGGCTATTGATGCAGCTTCTCTTATCGCAGCAAATTCCATTTTTACTGTTGATATTTGGCACCAGTTAATCAGGAAGTGATGATTTTGTTTGCTTTGACTCTGTCATTGTATTTGCACTGTCTGTATTTTGCACTGTTGTTGTATTTGTACTGTCTGTATTTTGTCTGGAGCCAGCACCTAAGCTTTCCACTCATCATAGCACATGTGCTGCTGATGATGTGACAATAAAAGTGATTTGATTTCCTTTGAATGGAAATCATTGAGCTTTATTTGCATATCTTTTATGCAATAATCCAGTTTTGCGTATAAAGTTTATTTGCATTTTTGGATGGAAACATAGCTCATGAGTGCTTGTGTGCATTTAGGAGAACTAGGCAGCACACTTAGAGCTGCAAGATGGATTTAATTTAATATTCTTATTATTAAAATATCTGAATGAGGATTAAATGACTGAGTTGGTGTTTGAGAATAAAAAATTAACCTGTTTGTTCCTGCAGATCTTCCTGTTTGACTGTGAATGTTTCTTCAATCTTCACATCTTCACTCTCCTCTTTAATAAACGCCATCTTTATAACAGTGTGGAGATCAGTCGCTTCAGCAGGAGTTTTTATCTGCATTTGGAACCTTTATCCTGTTTAAAATGAACAAAACAATGAACAGAAACAAAATAACTTCTTAACACTTACTTCAAAAGTTTCTTTATAGGAGAGTGATTAACAATAAGAAATCAGGTAAGTTTAAGCAAGAAACAATAGCAACAAATGACCTGATTACAACTAGTAACATTACTCCATTTCTTATACAGTTGTAAACTCAGAATGGAATGACAATATACTATTTAATAAATTAAACCTTCAATAAAGTTATTAAACTTATTACACACATCTCTGTAACCTTTTTTTAAACTTTATTTTTTATGTATATTCTTAATTGTTTTGTTTGTTTTATTTAGCTTATTGTCTGCTTACAGCAATGTGTAGCACTTTTTTTGCACAAGACAAATTTCCTCTTGAGGACAAAACGTTTATCCTATCTTTATTCAAACAATTGTACTATACTAATATTGACACTAATATTGTCATCAGCAGGTAAATCATTTAGCACTAAATGAAAAAAAACTGAAACTTTAATCAATCGGTTTATATAAGTGTAAACGCTTTAAAACAAACCTTTCTCCAGTTGAATAACAGCGCTTGAACGGCGCAGGCTTATGACGTCACACGCCACGCCAAAATAAAAGTCTTTTAAACCTTTTTTGCCACTTACTGTTGCAGTCATGACTTATTGATACATTTCTCCTTCGTTTCCACTTTCTCACAGACGCACATATATTCAGTATTTGGAGTTGATCAAAACCTTTACTCTAAACATTTTAAAATAATTAAAAAAAACTTCTTTAATCCACTAAGACTAAGTGTTTAAATCAAAAATCTCAACATTCTAACAGGTATAACAAATAATTTAATGAGTGTTTGGAGCTGAAACTTTACAGAAAAGGAGGTAAAATAGGTGTCCTTCATGTAAAAAAGTATTCATTACTACTTTATGTTTTAGTTCTTCAAACTAGTCATGACTTATATAGTTTTTCTCTGCGTTTGGACACTTTATCCTGTTAAAAATTAACAAAGCAATAAAAATGTAAAATGAATAAAACAATGAACAGAAAGAAAATAACTTCTCTTCTTCTTATACGAGAGTAATTAACAAAAATAAATCAGATAAGTCTGAGCAAGAAACTATAGCCACAAATTAGCTGATTAAAACTAGTACTCCATTTCTTATATATAGTGATGTAAACTTATAATGGAATGACATTATACTGTTTAATAAATTAAAGCTTCAGTAAGACACTTATTACACACACGTTGTTTAATAGTCCTCATTACTGTGAGTAAAATAGTACTTTGTTGTATAAAGGGTTAAAATAATATTGTCAACAGCAGGTTCATAGTTTAGTATCAGATGAAAAACCTAAAACTTCAATTAATCGGTTTCTTCTTTTTCTTTGGGTTTTACTGGCGGTTGGCAACCAGACTTGTAGGTGCATTACCGCCTCCGACTGGAATGGTTAAACAATAACTGAAGTGTAAAAATAGAGGGGAGGGGAAGAGGGGGAGGAAATGAAAATAAATAAATAAATAAAAAATGTGGGGTGGAGTGGGCTAACAATTAATTCCTCAGATTATATTATCTTTATATTCTTTTCTCTAAATGGGTTTCTTAAACAAATTTAATTATATCGTCATATACCTCACTAGATTTATTCCCTAATAAACCTGCCAATGTGAAATCCTGAAGTTTGCTCTTTTTAACTGATTGAATAAGATCGTATCGTTCTTTATTATATTTGCTACAGTGGAATAAAACATGGCATATTGTTTCTTGTTGATTACAGTGTATACATTGTCCAGTTAGGTGTTTCCCTATTTTATATAAAATGTGGTTGAGTCCAGTATGACCTATTCTCATCTGAGTTATAATTGTACTTCCTTATGATTTCTGTTCTCTCTCCTTCCAGCAACGACTTATTTATGTATATTATATAGATGTCTGCCTGTTTCATTGTTATCCCAGTATAATTGCCATACTGATTGTTCTAAATTTGATTTGAGCTTCTGCTTTACTCAGTGGGACTTCTAGATCTACTTCACTAATTCTGAGAGCTTGTTTGGCCAGAATGTCCGCCTTTTCATTGCCTTCCACACCTACGTGAGCAGGAACCCAAATTAAATATACAGATTTGCCCATCATTTTAATATAATATGTCTTACAGAGTATGTGAACTCTATTAATTACTGCAAAACATCAGAATGTTATTTTGCATTACGTCCATATAGGAGTGATTCAATCTTTCAACACTTAGTCTTAGTGGATTATATAAATTAAACAAAATTGTGTTAATGTTTGGAGTAAAAGTTTTGATCAACTTCAAATACTGAAAGTCTTTGTATGTGAGAGAGATAGCAGATGTTGTGTGAGGTGGAAAATGAAGGAGAAATGTATCATGTCATGACTGCAACAGTGAGTGGCAAAAAATACTGAAAAAAAAGACTTTGCCAACAGATTAAAAACAAATCTTGATTCTATTATTTCTGAAACTCAGTCTGGGTTTATAAAAGGCCGCCATGTTTCTAATAACATAACATTAGTTTTGGATTTGCTTGATTATGCTGATTCTATTCATTCAGATGGTCTCATTCTTTTTCTTGATTTTTATAAAGCCTTTGATACGATTGAGCACCAGTTTCTGTTTTTAAGCATTGAGGTTATTTGGATTTGGGGAAACTTTTGTTAACACTATGGCTATGTTTTATAAAGGAATCAATAGTTCAGTGATTGTTAATTTTAATACTTCTAATGGATTTGATATTCTGTGTGGTATTAGGCAGGACTGTCCAATCTATTCCTTTTCATTTTTATTAGTTTTTATTAGTCCTTAAGCATTGTGCAAAATCAAGATTTGAAAAAAATTCTGTTTTTGAGAGGAAGATTAAGATTTCACAATTGGCAGATGACACCACTTTATTTCTAAAAGATGACTCAAACGTATGAAAGGCTTTAAATTTAATTTCTGATATCTCAAGTGTTTCTGGTCTAAAGCTGAATATCTCCAAATGTGAGATAATGCCTGTTCATAATTTGAGTTAGGAATATTTAGAAGATATCCTTGTTAAATCCACAATTAAATGGTTATTTATTTATGTTATTAAAAATCTTTTAGTGAGACAGCACTTGAATATTTTTTTGTCTAGGATCAGCAAAACTAAAAATATTCTTAATTCCTGGCTACAATGGGACCTGTCATTATATGGAAGAGGGTGTTTCTCATTTTGTATATTCGACTTTATCTTTATTTGTTGAAAACAAAGTGGCCAAAGAAATTTATACTGTTTTCTTGAAATTTATCTGGAAGAACAAACCTCTTAAATTAAAAAAAGGTAGTTATTTCTAATAGTAAAGCAGAGGGGGTGTAAATTTATTAGATTTTTCTGACTCCATATACATTTTTAAAATTAATTGGATAAAGAGATGCCTAACCAATCCAACGTCTATTTGTTTTTTTTTTTTTATTCCCAACTGCTTTTTTGTCAAAATCTGTAGTCTTTTGTTTCTTCTTAAACTTAATTATCTTCCCTACAAGCTATCTTTAGCTTTGTCTAATTTCCAAAAGCAATGTCTGCTTGCTTGGAAGCTTGGTTATGTTCACAATTTTTCTCCCCACCGATTATTCTTATGGAATAACCGAAATATTACTGTTACGATTGACCGGGTGGATGGAGGCAAAAAGGTGTCACAGAGGCCGCTGGTGAAAGTGAAGAGTGATTTATTTACACAAAGTGAAAACAAAAATCCAGCAAAACAGGTGAAAGTGACAAAATAACAATAAAGAAAAATAAACTATTCTATATTTACAATGTATATACAGGCTTGTTCAGCTAAATCAAGTAAATGACCTGAACAAAAACTGTTACCAATACTGACAAAAACACAACCTTCTCCTACAACTACCCACGCCTCCAATGAATGTTTGGGGCCATTTTATTGTATTGGCCCCGCCCATGGGTTAAACCATTTCACTGGTAGTGGGTTACCATGTAGACAAAAAATACATAAAAAGACATTCAACAGAAATATAAATTAATGCAAGTAAATGAATATGCATACAAAACTCAAAATACAACACAACAAATAACCAATACAAATTTAAACAACAAAACTGTGATTTTTATTTACTGACCAGGGGGTTGTGACCCTGATGATGTTATGGAAAATGGCTGCTCCAAAGTGAAGGCGGGAAAAATCTGTATAAATGGCTTTGTTTGAAAGTTAAACAGGTTTGGTGCTGAGAATAGGAAACTGGTAAGTATATGTAAACTCTATATGTTTGGTTAATAAATGAAGTTTGAAAGAAAATGTGTCTGTGGTTATTTCAGTGTTCATATGGGCTATTGTTTGACATAAAAGTTAAATTTTTACATAAACACAATGCTAATCTGGACAAAAAAACAACATATACATATTACACAAACACACACATGCACAATACAAATAAAACAAAGGTCCATGTTTAAAAGTGTGTATTTTATGTATGAGTGCAACGTGATGTGTGTTTGTTAGTCACAGTGTCTTTAAGCTTTACACTGTGACAATTACAATCAGAAACAAATCGTTATTTTTCCATAGTTGGTTTCAAAATAATATTAAATGGATCCTTTGCTTGTTTGATGATGCAGGAAACATTCTTTCATGAACCATTTATAACCTACCACTGTTTTCCAACTTCTCCTAATGAATTTAATAAAGTTGTTAAGGCAATATCACCCGGTTTAGTTCACCTATTTAAAAGTCATTGTACATTTAACTGTAAATTTGCTTTTAGAAGGTGTTAGTCTGTTAGATAAGAAACGTAACAATAGCTTAGGAAAATGGAAAAATTTTGTCTAGAGGAAAGTTTTACTGGAGGTCTTTGGTTAAGGATATAGACTGGAATAGAACCTGGCTTTTACCTGGGAAATATTGCATTTTCCGACAAGGCAAAAGAAATGCATTTTAAAATTTTCCATAAAATCTACCCTGTAAAATTTAGTATTTAAAGTTTTTTGGACATCAACAGCTCCTGTTCTTTCTGCAAACAAGCAGAGGAAACACTACTACAGGGGTGGCCAACCCTGTTCCTATAAAGCCACCTTGCTGCAGATTTCAGTTGCTACCCATATCAAACACACCTGAAGCAATAAACTAAGACCTGAACACCACGTGATAATTACAGGCAGGTGTGTTAGATTTGGGTTGCAACTGAAATCTGCAGGAAGGTGGCTCTCCAGGAACAGGGTTGGCCACCCCTGCACTACTACATGTTTTTTGATTGTACAATATCCAAGCATTTTTGGTCACTTCTAAATTCTCATATATCTGCTTCTGCCAATGCTGTGAATTGCTTTAATCTAAAAGACTTTAAAAGACCCAAAAGCTAAATATCTGGAACGCATCATACTTTTTTATCTTATATGGCAAATTTCATTCACAAACAGAAATGCACAAATATTTACCCATGCTTTGTTTATTTTAGAATAGAATTTAACTTCCTCCTAAATCACTGTATATTATTAAGAATAATACAAGAAAAATCTAAGATTCCTAAAATATTATGCAGATGTATTTAAAGAAGATGCTCAATTTTGCTTTCCTTACGGTTATTTGATTAAGCGTCATTGTAATTTCATTAATTTAATTTTGTTTGTTTAATTTATTAATTTTAGTATTAGTATTATTATTCTAAATCTATTAATATTTTTCTCTTTCTGTCTAATGGTATTATTTGTATGTGATTTTAGATATTTTTTCTTATGACTATGTAAATTATTGCTCTTTTTAAAGATCTGTCTGACTTTGTTATGATGTGCTTGACTTGTCAGTTTAAGCATTAATAGAAAAAAGTTATTCTACTGGAGAAAGGTTTGTTTTAAAGCTTTTACACAGATATATAAAGCGATTGATTAAAGTTTCAGGTTTTTCATCCAATACTACATGATGTACCTGCTGTTGACAATATTATTTTAACCCTTTATACAACGTAATACTATCTTACTCAAAGTAAAGAGGACTTTTGAACAACGTACGTGTATTAAGTGTCTTAATGAAGGTTTACTTTATTAAATAGCATAATTTCACTTTATTCTAAGTATACATCACTACATATAAGAAATGGAGTACTAGTATTAATCAGCTCATTTGTGGCTGTTGTTTCTTGCTCAGACTTACCGGATTTCTTTTTGTTAATTACTTTCATATAAAGAAACTGTTGAAGAGAAGTTATTTTGTTTCTGTTCATAGTTTTATTTATTTTAAACAGGACATTTTTATTGCTTTGTTAATTGCTTTGTTAATTTGTTAAAAGTGTCCGAACGCAGAGAAAAACTATATATAATAAGTCATGACTCATGACTAAGAGTAAGTGGCAAAAAAGTAAAAAAAAAAAGACTTTTATTTTGGCGTGACTTGTGACGTCATAAGCCTGCGCCGCTCTCGCGCTGTGATTCAACTGGAGAAAGGTTTGTTTTGAAGCGTTTAGCCTTATATAAAGCGATTGATTAAAGTTTCAGTGTTTTCATTCAGTGCTAAATTATGTACCTGTTGACAATATTATTTTAACCCTTATACAAAGTAGTACTATTTACTAAAACTTACAGTAATGAGGTCTATTTTTTGAATAAAGATAGGATAAACCTTTTGTTCCAGAGAGGAAATTTGTCTTGTGCAAAAAAGTGCTATAAACAGACAATAAGATAAATAAAACAAACAAAACAATTAAGAAGATACTTGAATAAAGTAAAAGTGTGAATTAAGTGTTTTAATGAAAGTTTAATTGATTGAATAGCACTATGTCATTCCATAATAAATATACATCACTATATATAAGAAATGGAGTACTAGTTTTAATCAGGTGATCAGTGGCTATTGTTTCTTGATCAGACATATCTGATTTTTGTTTGTTAATGACTCTCGTATAAAGAAACTGTTGAAGCAAGTGTTAAAGAGAAGTTATTTTGTTTCTGTTTATTGTTTTGTTCATTTTAAACAGGATAAAGTGTCCAAACTCAGAGAAAAACTCCTGCTGAAGCGACTGATCTCCACACTGTTATAAAGATGGCGTTTATTAAAGAGGAGAGTGAAGATGTGAAGATTGAAGAAACATTCACAGTCAAACAGGAAGATCTGCAAGAACAAACAGGTTAATTTTTATTCTCAAAGACCAACTCAGTCATTTGATCCTCATTCAGATATATTTTAATAATAAGAATACTAAATTAAATCCATCTTGCAGCCCTGAGTGTGCTTCCTAGTTCTCCTAAATGCACATAAGCACTCATTGAAAGACAGGAATGAGTTTCTTTCTTGTTGCTTGTTCTCGTGTCTTTTGTAATTATTTTATGTATTATTAGTCTCCCATTTTCTCTACCTTCTTAAGGTTGTTGCTTTTTTTGTTCTCCTACTGTTTGTAAGGTGTCCTTGAGCACTAAAAACGTCCTTGGGCACTAATGCCGTTTTAAAATTATTATTGAACAAATCCTTATATTTGCGTGTCACACTCACTATACAAATTTATCAGGACTTACTGAAAATGTAAAGGATTGGAAGGACATTTGCTGTGCTCTATCATTGATAGGGAAAAGGAGACTCTTTGCTAGGTTTACTTTGTATCCAGAAGCATTTCCAAATTCTGAAATTATTGTAAGAGCTTTTGGAATACATGTATCTGGATTTGACAGAAAAAGAAGATCATCCGTATATAGCAGGAGCTTTTGTTTATGTCCCTCTCTGAAAATTCCTTGCAAGCCATCTGAGTTCCTTAATACAGTTGCAAGAGGTTCAATGGCAATGTCAAAGAACAGAGGGTAGCCCTGTCTCGTTCTTCTAGAGAGTGGAAAGCCTTTAGAAATAATATTATTTGTTTGAATCGATGCTTGGGGCCTGGAATATAAAATTTTAACCAAGGAACAGAATCCAGGATCAAAACCAATTTTTTTAAGCACTGTAAAAAAATAGATCTACTCTATTCTATCAAATGCCTTATGGGCATCTAAGGAAAGAGTGATTCCGAAACAAGAGCTTCAGCAAATACCTTGCACAACAGGGCTGTTAGCTTGGCTGTTAACAGGGCTGTTAAACTTCGTATAAAACTCGGACGGGAAGCCATTGGGGTCTGGTGCTTTTCCAGTTTTCAATTTTTTGATTGCATTTTCAATTACAGAAGGTGTTAAATTTCCTTCTAATGCCAACTAATCTAAATCACAAAGGCATGGTTATTCTAAATAATAAAAAAAGCTCTCACGTTCAATCTCGTTTACCTCAGAGCTGTAAACAGTTTTATTTAAGTTTTTTAATTGATCATTAATTCTCTGTTGATCAGTAATAATACTGCCATCATCCTTACTAACTGCTGCTATAAAACCAGCTGCTGAGGATTGTTTCAGTTGGTAACACAATAACCTGCCAGCTTATTTCCCTTGTTCACAATGAATCTGGCGTGAATCTTATGTGGAGATCCTCTGCATTTTCATCTGTCAGGGAGTCATATTCTGCTTGCAGAAGGAGTCTTTTCTAATGGAGCTCTTCGGAAGGTGATGTTGAGTGTAGCTGATCAATTGTATTAATTTTATTTATAATCTCTGTAAGCCGTTTTGACTTTCACTATTTAAATTTTAATTGCACTAGCTTAATCTAAAATTTGTCCTCGTATATATGTTTCTGAGTATCCCATAGGATGCTATAACTTATCTCTGGGGATTCCTTTGTCTTAAGGAAGAAATCAATTTGAGCATCAATAAATTTTACAAAATCATCGTCTGCCAAGAGTCTTGAGTTAAACCGCCATGTACGTTGAAGGATTACATTGCCTGGAAAACATAGCTTTAGTGAGACTGGACAATAGTCCGAAATAACAATACTACCATACTCTACTTCTGACATTAAGGGAAGTAACTGCTTGTCCAGGAGAAAATGGTCAATCCTGGAATAGGTTTGATGCACTGGTGAATAGAGGAAAAATTGCTTGGAAGATTGATATTTAAATCTCCAGGGGTCACTTACATTATATGTCTGAAGAAAGGAGTTGATACATTGTGCTGGCTAACTTAATGTATTACTCGAAGAGCTAGATCGGTCCAAAATTGGGTGCAAAACACAATTTAAATCGCCTCCTAAAATTAAATTGTGTCGAGACTAGGCAAAATTGAAAATAAATCTCTGAAAGATTTTTCATTGTCCCAATTAGAAGCATACACATTGGCCAGGACCACAGACATGTTAAAAAGTTAACCTTGGATTACTATGTGTCTGCCATTTTTATCCAACACATTTGACTCCAAAACAAACTGTACATTCTTATGTATGAGAACAGCAACGCCCCTACTTTTGCTGTTAAAATTAGAATGATATATTTGTGTATAGCCTCCTCTATTATGTTTAGAATAGTTTTTTTTCAACAGATGTGTCTCCTGTGAATATACAATATCGGATTTTTACTTATTAAGATGTGCGAACACCTTGTTTTGTTTCACTGGGTGATTTAGCCCCCACACATTCCAACTGGTAAAGTTTGTCTTCACTTTACCCATTTTATGGAGGGCTGTCGAAAACATGTATCAGAAGCATCTAAAAGGAATCTGTGGGTTTTGTATGTAGGGAGATGTGTGGGGGAGAGAGGAAAAAAAAGAGAAAAAAGAAAAAAAATGGGGTGATCACACAAACACTTATAAACACGAAACAACACAACATTGAAACCTTGCATGTAAACTTGCTCACACTTCCAGCTACTCCCACTCTTAACTAGCTTACCATGTGGGATCTTACATATAAAACAAAACTATTTGAACAGCTCTTGATGTTTTAATACGAAGCTACACCATTATTGACAAAACATACTTGAGAGCTAGAAATAACAACGAACACGCTATAGTGGTAATTTAAAAGTTAACCGGAGATTGACATTAACATTTGTATTGTCTTTGACAGCCCAGTGTACTGTCGTGATTGCCTTCATTTCAATGGCTTTCTTCAAAATATCCTCTTGTTCAGAAAAGTAGTGGCATTTAATTACAAAGGCGCATGGCAGTTCCTTGTCGTCCACTGGTTTGCTGCGTATAGTGATTTGAGCGGGGAGACCTCTCCTCAAGATCTTCGCTTTGGTCTCAGCAGAGCCAGCTTCTTTTTTAAAGATACTAAACTCTTTTTCCAGCGTAGTAAGAGAGTCAGAGTATCCACCCAACACAGACTCCAGACCAGTCACTCGCTCTTTCGCTGCATCCACTCTGGTGTTAACCACTCTTCCACTTCCACTCTTGCTTTTTCTAAGATGAAGGCACGTGCACACGCTGCGGGTCCTCTCTTTCCCGACAAGACAGTGTTTTTGTGTTCTTTGTCATGTACGTCCTCGCTGCGTTTATCTGTGCTTAAGCGCACATATAGTCATACATTTTTGCTCGACATCGGCAGAACCAAACTTTACAAGTTAAACTTCGCAGACACGGAGGAGCTGCAAAATCTCCGTTTGCTCCAGAGGCCTACTCATCCTCTGACCCCCACTTCAACACCTCGCCCACAATGGAGGCAAGAGAAAGCAGAAGAGGGGCAAGCGTTGGGGGATCTGAACTAGGCTAGCGACTAACCCACACAAACCTGCTATTCCCTTCATCATTCTAGCGAACGTACGCTTGCTAGACAACAAACTGGACTATAGCCGTCTACTTCGTTCATCTTAAAAGACTGTAAAAAACTGTTGTGCATTTGTGTTTACAGAAACTTGGCTCAGTGACTATGTTCTGGACATTGCGGTTCCAGTCGTGATACCATTGTAGTCTGCAAAAACTGCTTGCCACTGGTGAAGTTTATGGTTTTAAAGTGCCAGCCGTTTTATCTACAGAGGGAATAAACAGCCATACTGCTTTTTTCTGTTTACATCCCTCCCAGCTCCAATGCCAACAACATGACTGAGGCACTGAAAGACCTGTACCTGCACATCAGTGAGCAGCCTACAGCCCACCCAGATGCTTTTCTCATCCTGGCTGGGGACTTTAACCATGCAGACCTAAAAAGTGTGTTTCCAAAAATACACCAACACACAGACTTTCCAACATGGGCAATAACACACTGGTCTTTGTTTACACCACACAGAGAGGAGCTTCCAGCTTGTGATGCAGCATATTAAGTCTGTCCTGCCCCCTCCTTGGACCCCTTTCAGTTTACATATCGGTCCTACCACTCGACTGATGACGCCATCTCCACTGCACTTCACTCAGCGCTCACACATCTGGACAAAACAGACTCCTACATCCGAATGCTGTTCATAGACTTCAGTTCAGCAATTAACACTATCATCCCCCAACAGCTCACTCAAAAACTGGTCCAGCTGTCAGAGTAACACCTCTCTGTGTAACTAGCTGCTGGATTTTCTCAGCGGAAGACCACAAGCAGTACTGGCCGACAGTAACACATCCAGCACCATCACTCTAAACACTGGGGCCTCTCAGGGATGCTGAGCCCTATCCTCTTCACTTTTCTGATTCATGACTGTGCACCATCTCACAACTCCAATCTTTTCATGATGTTTGCGGATGACACAACTGTGGTAGGTCTCATCAACAAAAACGATTAGAAAAACTACAGAAGCAAGGTGAGCCATCTGGCCGAGTGGTGCAGAGACAACAATCTCTTCTTAAATGTGGAAAAGACAAAGGAGATAGTTATTGACTTCAAGAAAGTGCACACTCTGCATGCTTCAATGACCATTAACAGTGCGTCTGTGGAGCATGTGAGCAGCACTAAGTTCCTGGGCGTACAAATCACTGAGGATCTCTCCTGGACAAAAAATCACAGCTACTTCCTCCACAAACTTAAATAAGCAAGAGCACCAGCCTCAATCATGCAGACCTTCTACAGAGGCACAATTGAGAGCATCCTGACCAGCTGCATCACTGTGTGGTTTGGAGCCTGCAATGCATCCTGCAGGAAAACTCTTCAGCGCATAGTGAGAACAGCTGAGAAGATCATTGGTGTCCCTCTACCCTTCCTCCAGGACATTTACAGCACCCGTCTCACCCGAAAAGCCCTCTGCATAACAGCAGACCTCACTTACCCAATGCATAGCTTCTTCAGTCTGCTGCCATCAGGGTGGAGAATGCGAAGTCTCCAGGCCAGGACCAACAGACTGCAAGACAGCTTCATCCATCAGGCTGTCAGGAAGCTGAACCCTCTCCCAACTCTGCCACCACTCCCCTCTCCCTCCACATGCATTTTTGGACTCTGACACACATGAAAACAAACACACATGCACACATTCATCTGCACTGGTCACTTTATGTAACATTGGTCTACCAGTTAGACACATCATACTACATTCACATATATTATGAAACTGTCACTTTATCATAATCATCATGTGCACAAGCCTTTTTGCACTATATACTGTTCTTTATCTGCACAACTCTGGTTTATAATTTTTTATTGTATGTATATTTTTAGACTACACATTAAATATATTTTTAGACCACATTTTATGTACTACTGTATATTTTGTAAATTTAGATTAAACCATCGCAAGCGGGCTTGCACTGATTAAACTAATATCGCTGCTCATGAAAAGACCGGTATTGCTATTAACATGACGTATGCATATAATAAGGTACAGTATATGTCAAAATCAGTGCAGTATCAGACAGCACCCGTGAGAACAGCACAGCAAGCGTTAACAGATTCAGTTGTGTCAAGCAGTGCGTGAAGGGCTGGTGAGTGGTCTGAGTATCTTTTGGTCCCTCATTTATGGTATTTTTTTGTGATAATGGAATTTCGTTGAGACATATTTTCCTCATGCATGCATATATTTTTTTGCTTGTTAGTTTGATTCGTGTTGATTTCAAATGCAATAAATTTGTTTGTATAAAACTTGTGGTAACGGTGCTTATAATTGGTGGGTGCGACAAAATTTTGGTTGATGCGCCTACATTTTTTAAATTAGGAGCACTGGTGCTAATAAGCAAAAAGGTTAATTTTGAGCCCTGGTCTACTTTACACATTTTAGAAAAACATTTTGTTGTAATTATGAATAAATACGAATAAAAACAGGTCATTTACAGCTTCCAAATCTGTCTTATCAATATGAACAAAATTACTTTTATGATCAATTATGTAAGAAACTCTGAAAACTGGACTGACAGATTCAATTAACTATAACTTCTATGTTAAGCGGCTTTGACACATTTTACATTGTAAAAGCACTAAATAAACATTAATTGTATTAAATCTGCTTAAATGTGTACACATTAATGGATAGAACAAAATATGACCTGATTAATTTTACATTTAATGTGCATCAAAATTACAGTGTGCATAGCCAATGTTTCCAGTGTCTTTTCACTTTTCAGCTTTTGATGAAGATTTTCATGCAGAGTTTTATAGACTTAATGAAAACGAATGTTTTTTTTTAAAATATTTTTCAGACCTAATTGAACAGAATGAGGGGAGTAAAGAGGAGGAACATCCTGTCAAAATTGAGGAAAAAACTAATTTACAGACTGATGGTATTTTGAAAAGGAGAGACAAGAATTGTTTCACCTGCACTCAGTGTGGAAAGAGTTTGGCAAACAAAAACAAACTTAAGATTCACATGAGGATCCACACTGGAGGGAAACCATTCACATGCACTCAGTGTGGGAAGAGTTTCAGCCTATTATCATCCCTTAATCTACACATGAGGATCCACACTGGAGAGAAACCATTTACTTGCACTCAGTGTGGGAAGAGTTTCAGCCTATCATCAAACCTTAATAAACACATGAGGATCCACACTGGAGAGAAACCATTCATATGCCCTCAGTGTGGGAAGAGTTTTAACTTTTCATCAAATTTTCATCGACACATGAGGATCCACACTGGAGAGAAACCATTCACATGCACTCAGTGTGGTAAGAGTTTCAGCCTATCATCAAACCTTGATAAACACATGAGGATCCACACTGGAGAGAAACCATTTATATGCCCTCAGTGTGGGAAGAGTTTCAGCCAATCATCATACCTTAATCTACACACGATAATCCACACTGGACAGAAACCATTCACATGCACTCAGTGTGGGAAGAGTTTCAGCCTATCATCAAACCTTAATAAACACATGAAGATCCACACTGGAGAGAAACCATTCATATGCCCTCAGTGTGGGAAGAGTTTCAGCCAATCATCATACCTTAATCTACACATGATAATCCACACTGGAGAGAAACCATACACATGCACTCAGTGTGGTAAGTGTTTCAACCGCTCGTCAAACCTTAATAAACACATGAGGATCCACACTGGAGAGAAACCATTCATATGCACTCAGTGTGGGAAGAGTTTTAGCAAATCATCATACCTTAATCTACACATGAGGATCCACACTATAGAGAAATCAAACAACAGAATTTCGCATGCTTAAACTCTAGTATGACCGCAGCTTCGGTGTGGGATGAGTTTCAGCAACTCCTCAGACCTTATTAAACACATGAGACTCACACTGGACAGAAACCATTCACATGTACTCAGTGTGGGAAGAGTTTCAACCGATCAGCAAACCTTAATGAACACATGAAGATCCACACTGGTGTGAAAGAGTATATGTGTTTGAGTGTGAGAAGACTTTTCTTACAGCTCCAAATTTGAAACTGCACCAGACGATTCACACTGTTACAAGAAGTTTTATTGGTTAACACATCTAAAAACAGAAGAGGATTCACACTGGAGAGAAACCGTACAGATCTGATCAGTGTCCACAGAGTTTCACTCAATCGCCGCAGCTTGAGAAACACATGGACAAGAAGTTGCACACATGATATGAATGGAGCACAACATTTTTCATATGCACAGGATTTTTCATGTCTGAATAATGTTTAAAAAGGCTGAGGGACGCTATACTCTTTTCCAACACTCCTACACTGGGGTTGTTGGTGGGGTTGTAAATGTGTCGCGTTTCTTCCACTCTCCACACTCTCCAGTGTATTCATGTAGCTAGTGTTGTTTTGCATGATGTTCTCTGTCTGACTCTCTGAATGAGAAACAAATCACTGGGAAGACACCGCACATCAAATAAGGTGAAGCTCCAGGATGGTTAGTTTGCAGAATAGCAGGGCCTCAAGTTTAGAAAGCCCATTCAATTGTCCTGTGTTGCATCTTTTATTAGTAAAGGATCTTTATTTTTAAGTTCTAGTTTACTACGGTAGGGATGGTATACAGTTTAACCCAAAGAATGACCAGTCTGTCAGATGAAGAAGAGCCGGAGTCAAAGATTCAAATAAATAAATGAAGTTTACTGAAGATAGTTTGCAGTTTCATCAGCAGAAGCCAGCTCAACATTTGCAATGAGTTCCTAGGCCGCTCTGACTTACAGTACAACAATGCAGTAATTATACTCTACACAAGTCCAGAAAGGGTGGGATCCAGGTAAACAGTTCTCATTGGTTACAGCAAAAATAGACAATTCTAAATGCTCGTGTCAATGAAGTATTGTATCTAGCTCCAGATATGGATGGCCTCAATGCGTGCGTTAAGAAAGATTTGTATCTAACTCCAGATATGGATAGCGACATGGTTCCTGGGGGTTAGGTCGACCCTAAGTTATTAAGAGCTGATCTCCGACCTGTGAAAAGCTAAATCAGGGTCACAAAAGACACAAGAGACCATCTGTGTTAAAATCTCAAGGATGTTTCTTGTACGGTGAGGCAGTGGGGCAGCAGGTAGTGCTGTCGTCTCACAGCAAGAAGGTCGCTGGTTAGAACCTCGGCTCAGTTGGTGTTTCTGTGTGGAGTTTGCATGTTCTCCCTGCCTTTGCGTGGGTTTCCTCCGGGTGTTCTGGTTTCCCCTACAGTCCAAAGACATGTGGTACAGGATTGGCTAAATAGACTGTAGTGTATAAGTGTGGGTGTGAATGTGACTGTGGATGTTTCCCACAGATGGGTTGCAGCTGGAAGGGCATCCGCTGCGTAAAAACTTGCTGGATAAGTTGGTGGTTAATTCCGCTGAGGCAAGGGACCAAGCCAACAAGAAAATGAATGAATGTTTCTTGTACGTTCAGCTGTGTTATGAAACTGGTTCCATCAACAGTCTGCTACAATATCCGTACTACACACAGTGTCTATCTCCATACAAAAGGAATTACTTTAATAAGAATTACAATCAAAACAGATGAATCAAACAGGTAAATTACTGTAGACAATATCAGGACAACTAGAACAGGTGTTTTTCTTCTCCTCTGCATCGATACTTTGTTCAGAGGGACAGAGAGAGAGTGATCTCCATGGCCTATGACCTGGTTTTTGTGTCTCCTGAAAACAAAATTAAAATAAGCAAACAGAGAAACAAGGACACTGAACATTCTTACATTAAGCAGTGTGAACGTATACATTAGATAAATCAAGTCAAAGTTCTATAATTAATAATTAAATTTAATAAAAATTAATTAAATAATTATATTTAGTAAAAAGTGATGAGAAACAGGATGTTGAGAAAAAGGATTAACATTGATTTGTTGAGATGAATTTGAAGGTAGAACTCTAACTCCTTCAGTCCCCTGTTTTTGACCGAAGTGAATTAATCCGCTCCAGGTCAACCAGTGAGGTCACTAAAGAAAGTGGAAGTAATGACTCGTGCTCCCTACTTAGGTTACAGAGTTTCTTCGCCCTTTCTTGGACATGCTGGAACCTTAAAATTCCAGTCCCCAAGCTAAGGGCTCTTCCACCTTCTACTCATAATGGGCTTCATCCTTGTATTCATCAAGCTATTCGGTTTTGAAGACGGTTCGTCAGTATCAGTTGACGTTTCTCATCATCAGTAGTATTGACGGTCCTGCAAGGAGAAAAGGAAATATACGAAAAACTAAACAGCGGACCAAAGACCAGAATATGAACACAAATGCACAAGCCCTAATAGTCATCCAGAATTAAACAACACATACTTTCATCGATACATCCTCTGATGCATTTACAACTTACTCCAAATCTAAATCCAAACATCCAGGGTAATTCTAAGACTCAAGAGTTCCTCTGATCAGACACAAAAGGTCATCCACTCAACCTAAGCCACACAGGATTCAAATTGAATAGTCCCACATGAAATTATCTATGTTGACCATTACCAGGCCACCATTACCAGGCCGAGCCAGAGAAGAATAAGTCAGGCAAATGCAGAAGACCAGGCAGAATTGAAAATTACTTAGTTTTTTTTAATGTAAATGCTTTTTCTGTTTGTATATCTTGCAGTAATATTCTTTTGCATATAAAGTCTGTACTGCAGCAATTCTGTGTCTGTATTTTTTTTTTACATACAGTAAACTGTAAATTTTTTTTTAAAGCTACTCTGGGATGGTCGTTCATTTTTTGTATTGAATTTCTGCAGCATAAGAAACAAAATGCATGAATTTACTGTACTAAACCCATAACACAAACATTTAGAGAGGCTTCAAATATAAGGGCAGAGCTGAATAGCTAAAATAGTGCTGTTTCTGTAATGTCAGCTGATGATAGTGTTTTTATTTTCGATGTGTTCTGATTGACTAAATGTTTCTGTTGCAAGAGAACGTTCGAGGTTACTAAAGTAACCCTTCGTTTCCCGAGGAGGGGAACGGAAGCACTATAAGTGGATTTGATGTTCTGAATTCACGTATGGGAGGATTCAGTTCAGAAGCTGCTCGTCTGAAAGAGTATTGAACGGGCCAATGAAACCAATGAATTGGCAGCGCAAGCTTGCGCAGGTGTGCTGCATCGCCAATTAACTGAGCATATAAGCACACCTGGCGCCAGCAAACGCTATCCTTTTTAAGCTGAAGAGACTTTTAACAGCTAAGGGACAGTCATTATGGCGATGGAGTATAGTGCTTCCGTTTCCCTCCTCGGGGAACGAAAGGTTACTTTAGTAACCTCGAACGTTCCCCTTCGGGGGGAACTTCAGCACTATAAGTGGATTTAATGTTCTAAATCCACGTATGGGAGCCCATTGAAAGCGCCATAATGCCATAATTGCACCTTACCAACACCCACCATGAGAGGGCAGTCAGGCAAGCGTGACGCACCCAAATCATGGGAGGCGCGGTCCTCCAACGTGCCCTTGGCCCTAACTTATCCCCACTTCAAAAGAAGCTTTACGGAATAGGTATATTTTTTTGGAAGTCGCTAGCGTCTTAATAATTTCTAGGAATATACGACAGTACGTTGGGAAGCGTGCCATCCCAGTAGGGAGGACGCTGCGGAGACCATCCGCACCCAATAGGGAGACAAATGGAGTTACATATGGACTAACCCTGAGAAGGGGGAGTGCACATAAGAAGGTGGTTAGCGGATAGAGAAGGCACGGGTCCACCCAGGGGGGGGAACTTAACCGTGGCGGAAAAGCATATGGGGATCACCAGCGGGGATCGGCCATAGCAGGCACCTGTACCCAAAAACGCGGGCTGACCAGCGGGCAGACCTAACGTAGTGGGCCAGCGAGTGACTCCTCCACTGAGTCAGTGCTGGGGGCCTCGGAGGAATCTGCAGGGCTCACCGAATGGAGAACTTTACTGACAGACAGGAGGGTGCACATCTCTCCCGTGTTAGGGAAAAAAGGCACCGCAAGCGTGCTACAACACCCACCGAGTTGTTTCCTCAATCACCAAAGGTCCCTAAAACCCTTGAGGTAACCACGCGAAAATGCCTCCAGGTCCCCGAGCCTCTTAATGGAGGCCAACGCGACCAGCAGAGTCTTCAGGTACAGAAATCTTAAGGATACTGAGTCGAGCTGCTCAAAGGGATCAAATCGCAAGCTCGTGAGAACGAGGGCGAGATCCCAAGAGGGCAGGAGAGGGGGGGCGAGTTGGATTAATTCGCCTGGCGCCTCTAAGAAACCGGATGATGAGGTTATGCTTTCCCATGGTGCCGCCAGCCACTGCATCATGGTGAGCGGAGATGGCGGTTACGTAAACCTTGAGAGTGGAGGGCGACAGCCTGCTATCCAGCTTCTCTTGAAGGAAAGAGAGCACAACATTGATCTGGCAAGATCGGGGGTCTTCTCTGCGAGAGACACACCATTCAGTGAATAGACTCCACTTCAGGGCGTAGGCGCGCCTCGTGGAGGGGGCTCTAGCCTGAGTGATGGTAATGACCACCGCGGGCGGCAGGTTACCTAAGTCTTCCTCGCGTCTATGGACCACACATAGAGGTTCCAGAGATCGGGGCGAGGGTGCTAGACGGTGCCTTGTCCCTGAGAAAGTAGGTCCTCTCTCAAAAGGATCTGCCATGGGAGGGTCGTCGCGAGGAGGGAGAGCTCCTCTTCCGGTCCGGTTGGGCCAGAGGGGCGCAACTAACAGAACCTGTTCCTCGTCCTCTCTGACCTTGCACAGTTACTGCACGATCAGGCTCACTGGGGGAAACGTATACAGAGGCCAGTTGTGGGCCAGTGTATCCGTGCCGAGAGAGCCCTCGGTCAGGGAATAAAACAACTGGCAATGAGCGTTCTCGGGGGAAGCAAACAGATCGATCTGGGCCTCCCCGAATCGTGCCCATATCAGCTGGACAGACTCGGGGTGGAGTCTCCATTCTCCAGAGTGAATCTGCTGCTGTGAGAGCACATCGGCTGCACGGTTGAGCATACCTGGGATGTGAATGGCGCGCAGCGACTTCAGCCGCGGGTGACTCCAGAGGAGCAGACGGCGGGCGAGCAGAGACATGCGGCGAGAGCGCATACCCCCCATGCGGTTGATATACGCTGCCGCCGCCATACTGTCCGTCCTGACCAGCACGTGTTGCTGCTCCAGCACCAGAGAAAAACGGCAGAGAGCAAGGAACACTGCCAACAGCTCTAGGCGATTGATATGCCAATGCAGCTGGGCACCTACCCACAGGCCCGCAGCTGCATGCCCGCGACACACGGCTCCCCAGCCTGTGCTGGAAGCATCTGTTGAGACAACAACGTGACTGGACGCCTGTCCCAGAGGCACACCGGCCTGCAGGAATGAGGGGTCGTTCCAGGGGCTGAGGGTGTGGCGACACAGCGCAGTAACAGAGACTCATCATTAACCATTGAAAACAGAGCCGGATAACTCATCCATTTAAAGCTCATGTCATGGTCTGCATCATCTTTTCATCACTCAGCATTATTGACTTCTCTAATGTTTGATATTTTGCTTATACAATCAGTAATGATAATATAGCTGCAAGCAGCAATTAAGGGGCCAAGCACTTTTGACCAAAAGGTGGCGCTTTCTGGGAGTCCAAAGACATGCGTTATAAGTGAATAAGGTAAGCTAAATTGTCTGTTGTAATATGTGTGGATGAGAGTGTATGGATGTTTCCCAGTACTGGGTTGCAGTTGGAGGAAAATGTGAACAAGTTAGTTTGCCTCAGCAACTGGCTGAAAGATGAGAAAGCTCAGTAGATTTGAAAAGTTATGTGCAAACAAAAAGACCAGTTTCAGTGCAACATGTTATAGTAGTTAGGCTTGCTTGGGCAACTGGATTAAAGAATGGAGATAAAGGTAAAAGATTGTTCTTTTGGTTTGATTCAAAAGTTTATTGAAAATATTTTTTCCACACAAACACAACAGTTATTTTTTCCAACAGATGACTCAAACTGTGCGTGATAAAAATGTGGTAGGCCACTGTTATGATTTTACTACATTTATTGCTTACTGTTCAATTGAATACTGTAAATTGTACATCCTGGTTAAGAGGAATGCCAGAGGAAGCGGTGGGACATAGCAAAAACTAATATTACGGTGTGTAGAATGTTTCAGCTTGATTTAAATCACAATTGTTTGGCTGTTTTGATAAACAGACATAATATGA